CAAGACACATGATGTGTTGTTGCAATCTCGGGTTCGCGCCTTCGAAGCATTTTTGCCGTCTCTTTGACGCCAAATTTCTGTGTCATTGTTTTTGTAAAAAAAAAAACTTACTGCCGCCTCCCGAAAAACATTTTGGAAAGAGCCGCGGGAGCTGAAAGAGCCACGGCGTGCCCATCTCTGCCCTAAACATTAAACTAAAAATTTCAAAAAAATTCTATAATTTTATTGAATAACAAAGAACAGAACTGGGGGGTGTCCCTTAAAAATAAGTTGGTCAAATTTTGGCCCAGCCTAGTGCTCATATCTACTAAACAAAATTTTCTTAAAACTTACATTTTTGAAAGCTCTGGGAAATTCTCTATCGGATTCGTGTTTTCATTTTATCCAAAGCGTTCAAAAAATTCATGGACTTTCGCCACCTCCTTGCGGCTGAGGCCCCACTGTGCGTCGACCTTACGAACATGAACACATTAACGAAAGGTTCTTTGGCAAAAAAGAAAACAGTACAAGAACAAATATGTAAATCTACAATTTTATAAGAAAACGAGAAGGAACGTGTGAGTCGCTTCTGGGGACGCGACTCTACCTTTACCCGTACTTCGTCAGTACATACATTTTTGAGCTTATGATTTTTTAGAATTTTAAAATAAAAAATTACATTTTTTTGCTACATCTCTTATCTACATCTACAATGTATATTCTACATCTCCTCCGCTAGGGGTTGCTCGCGCACTGAACGCGGCAGAGTGTGCGGGCGAGAAAGAGATAGGTAGCGGGTCTCTGACAGGACGGGGCGGAAGAACCAACAGAGAATGAATTTTTTCATTCTGGCTATAATTGACTATATATGATCCGATCTGATTCAGGTTCGGCAATCTGGTCATTCTCTACGATACTGCGTTTTCAGTTTTATCGTATCTTTAAAATTGTGCCTGCCACAGATTTTCGTACTTTGCGTGGGTGGAAGGGGGCGGGGCGAAATTTTGAAATACACTTGTAGCAGTGTGATATCACATGAGTCTGGAAACCAAATTTGGTTACCCTTACTCTTATAGTCTTTGAGATCCAGGCGCTCAACAAGACGGACAGACAGACATGGCTATATCGAATCGGCTATTGATGCTGATCAAGAATATATATATAATTTATGGGGTAGGAAACGATTCCTTCTCTGCGTTACACACATCCACTTTTACCAAAAATCTAATATACCCCTTAACTCGTTTTTGAGTACGGGTATAACAATAAATAAATAGAAATTAAATATTTTTATACGCAATTTACCCTTGTTACTCAAAAAAGCCAGTGTTTCGAGAAACAAACACGATTACATAGCTTACTGTTACTTAGGGAAAGCAACTAACACTATGGGCTAATGAAAAATTCAACTGTAGTAGGATTACCTGGGTAATCAAAATGAAAGCAGATAGCATGTTGAGCCTTGACTTAAATATAGTGAACCACCAGCTCCCCACACACTTTACAAAAACAAGAAACACACTACTAGACCTATTCTTTGTCGACAGTACTGACAAAATTCTACTATATGACCAACTCACAGCACCAGGGTATTCAAAACATGACCTTATTTTATTTTTATTTATTGACCTATGATTTTAATCCTGACTACGATAATTATGGCACCTTTTACAGAGACTTCAAGAACATTGACCTTGAAAAACTACACACTGACATTAGCATCCTTGACTGGACATCAATACATTATATGTTGTCTGTAAATTCTCAGCTTGCCCAACTTCAATCTAACATTGACTATCTTTACTGTGAACATGTACCTATTAAGAGAAAGACAGTCAAACGAACAGATAACTCATGGTTCAACCCGGAGATAAAGCTGGGTAACATCAAACGAAATGAGGCTTTTAAAAAATTTAAAAGATATAAGACTGAAAGCCACTTTAATATGTACAAATCATTAAGATCAGACGTAACTAAACTAATATACTCTGCTAAGACCGCCTTCTACTCGTCAAAGTTTAACAACGCTCTGTGTAGCAAGCAGAAATGGCAAGTGATTAAAAGTATAGGAATTGGCAAAAAAACAAGAAACTCACTAGTTGACATGGACGTAAATGAAGTTAGCAAAAAAATTTTGCAATTAGTTGTACCGGACCCACCACCAACCCTGAACTTGACATCACCGCCCATGCTTCCGATCTTTAGTTTCTGTTGTGTTAGTCCTTGTGATGTTCTAGAATCCATTCTTAAGATTAAATCAAATGCTACTGGCCTAGACGATATGAACCCGAAATTTTTGAGAATAATACTCCCTAGAATCATCATGCACGTTACTCACATTTTCAACACAGCCATTACCACATCAACGTTCCCGGAAAAGTAGAAGGAGGCTAAAATAATCCCTATCCCAAAAGCAAACTCTGCAGAATATAGGCCAATATCCATACTCCCGACCCTGTCAGAAGCGTTCGAGACCTTGGTAGCTAAACAAATAAATTCATTTTTTACAGAGCACACATTACTAAACAACAATCAATCTGGATTCAGAACAAATAGAAGTTGCACAACTGCAATGATAAAAATTGTAGAGGATATCCGTGAAAGAATAGACGACGGAAATGTAACGTTCCTAACTCTTCTTGACTACACTAAAGCTTTTGACTCAGTTGACCACCGCATCCTCATCGCAAAGCTTCGCGAATCCTACAACTTCTCTGACTCTGCAGTACGGTTGCTATCATCCTATCTGCTAAATAGGAGCCAGGCTGTTGTTGCTGAAGGGAAAATGTCGTCCTTTGCCTATGTTAAGTGTGGTGTCCCACAGGGATCAGTACTTGGCCCGATATTGTTCTCCATTTATGTAAATGAGTTGCCAATAGTATTGTCCGACTGTAAAGTGCACATGTACGCCGATGACGTCCAATTATATGTTAGTCGACCGTTAAATCGAATAGATGAGTGTATAAATGTTACCAATAGAGAGCTTGAGAAAATTAGTGCGTGGGCAACCAAAAATCGACTATGCCTCAATCCAACGAAGTCAAAATGCTTGATTATATACAAAAACAAGAAAAAAATAAATGAAATTATATTGAGACGTGTAGAAATATCAAACACTCCCATTAGCTACATAGAGAAGACAACTAATTTAGGCTTTATAATAAATAGTACTCTGTCGTGGGATGATCATGTGAGCAAAGCAGTTGGAAAAACATATGGGATCTTAAGGGCACTTAATATTACCAAGCAATTTATACCAGTTAGCATCCGGATGCAGATAGCAAAAGCATACCTAGTACCTGTACTCACTTATGGGATTGAGGCATTTGGAAACTGTGGCTACGAAAACAGGCAAAAGTTGAGCGTGTGCTTTAATAATATAGCTAGATACATATTTAGATTAAGGCGCAGCGACAGAATCTCTGCATTCTCATATAAAATTTTCGACATGACTCTTTTCAAATGGATTGACTATAAGATGCTTACGTTCCTACATAAAATAATCCTCACCAGACAACCCCAATATCTGTATGAAAAATTAAGATTTACCAATTCCGCAAGAACGAACAATATTATCACCATACGATATAGAACACTAAACTCTGAGAGACATTTCTTTGTGAATGTTATTCGCATATGGAATCATCTTCCACATCACATGAAAACAATACGAAACCTTTCACAATTCAAAACACAGTTAGGTGCCCACCTTACACTAGACTAAAATTTAAAAATCAAATTTAATTTAAAATAAAATAACACGAACATTAGCATAAGAAAACAAATCAATATATGTAACCACTTATTAGTATGTCATATTAAAAGATTCATTTAGATCTAAGTTTAATACCAAACTAATGTGACACCTAGTGACTAGTGCTCTAATTATAAGCCCCTTGCTTGTAGCACTAGGAAATACAATAAACAAACAATACAATACAAACAGAGCGGCATCTAGAACTAGCTAGATTTGGCAACGGGTGGTACTACATCAGTAAATATCGGAGCGTGTCCTCTTATAGCCTCATGTTGAGCAAGTATGGCAAGTACACTCGGGTTAGCCTGCGCCAGGACGTTTGGGTGGCTCCTCAGCTTTAACAGGTACCTCTTTGCTTGGTCATTTAGAACGTCCCCGATCAGGGGGACGCGGAAGTCTCCTTACTTATTCGTGAAAATCATCATTTGTATGAGTTTATGCCTGATTCGCACAGTGCGTGAAGATATTCAGGCAGGCTCCGGTTTTCACATCCTTTTGCGCTTTACGTTTTCAACCAAAACGCTTGCTTTTCGTTTTTAGGCGGTCCAGTATTCGCAAATGTTTGGTATCAAAGAGATTTATTAGCTCGTGTGCGCTTTTATTACGATGGAAAAAAACTGTAGTGTTGTTGCCCTGACCAATTTTTTCAGATTCAATTTTGAGGTATTTGTGATTTTCGGAGGGTTGGTCAACCAATTTCAGATCAGCCGTCTCTCCATAGATTTTAATGAGCAATACCTTAAACGACGCCTTATTAGTGCACCTATACACAAAAAAAAATATAGGACCCAGGATATATATTTTTTTCGACTTTTCCTGGATTTTTAATAAATTTAAATTCGATTTTGTCAAGTAGTGTAATTATCTGATCTGCTCCAGATCCTTTTTGTTAAAAAAGCGTTTACTTTGCATGTAGTAGAGGAAAATTTGTTCGTTTTGAAAACGGATCAATTTTGAGTTTTACGAATACGAGAGCACCAAAAGTTTTCAAAATTAAATCAGACAGTTTTTGCAAAAAAGAAAACCGTAGACTGCGCACGAGCGAATCGAGTGAATCGAGCCCCGTAGTAAAAATATTCATAAAGGGAAATATAAATTGAGGGAGCGATAACCTTTGTGATCCACAACTTCAAAGATACAAGAGAAATAAATTCATCATGGAGGTAGCCGTAGAAACTATTGCTTTTGGTTCCGAATCTTTAAAATTACTATTATATTACTACTCTAGTAAGCTTAAAAATCTCTAATTTTTCTACTTCTTTAGTGTAAATGGTCTCGGAAAGGTTTTATGCGCACACGTTGGGAAATTAATGGCACAGTGATCGATCTAGTCAATATCCACTTATTTCATGATGCGTCAAATTTGGCTGCATGTGAAAATTTTCCATCAGTATATTGTAAAACAAGGAGAAGAGCATTAGTTCATACGATTGAAAGGTAATTTTATTGAAATAAAAAATGAACTTCATCTACATATATTTATAAACAGATTTAATTCGGATGAACAGAATGGATCAGTACCATACTTTCTATTTGGGGATTTCAATTTTAGATGCGATACTGAAGGCGTCGTAAGAGTAAGTTATAAATGTAAACTTGAAAATTTGTATATTTTTAACTTTCTGAACAGGAACTAACCAAAAACCTTAATGCCTATCGCGTTGAAAATAACAAAAATGAAAACAATAAAGTTCATTATCGCAATTCAAATGGAGACACCGTACTTACTATAGGAAAGAAGGAATTTATTCATGTCGATCATCAATTGAAGTTTAAGGAAGATTGGGTAACTATGCATTGCAGATAGTAAGGCCATATTTAATGATTTTGCCCAATTAGCTCAAGAAATATGACAGAGAATTGGAGCCACTTAAGGACATTCTAAACGAATATCCGATCAATTTTGTTCCTACTTATCCTTTTGAAGAGGACCCACAAATGCCTATGGATTATATGTCAACTCGTTGTCCTGCGTGGTGTGATCGTATTTTAATGAGTCCCCAAGTTAAGGAAATTATCCAAATTGATGAATGGAAATATGGCATGATTGGTGAATCTGCATGCATGGGAGATCATAAGGTAAATTTAATATCTATGAGAAGGTAAAAAACAAACGTTCGGTCCCAAAAGCGCCGAAATTTATCTATTCGAGCATTTCAAGCTGATCAAGAATATACTTTATGGGGTCGGAGATGCATCCATCCATCCATACCTTTTATACAGCCATGCTCCAGTTATCGAAAATCGCAAAAAGTTTTGACTGTCAAATCTCAAAATCTCGGGATCCAGTATTCGCAAATTATTTAAAATGAGCTTCATTTCAAAATTCAATTCAATTTGTATAAGCAGGAGAAAATATAAACATATTTCCTGATGTTTTAAGTTTATATATGCACATATATGTATAATTGAAAAAATATTTTACTGTATGTTAATATATTTATTTAATTTATTTATATTCACACCTCCAAATTAATTCGCGAATTTTTCGTTTTGTTTTGGTATCATATAATGGGATTGCCAAAAAAATGGAATATATAACTAAAATATTTTAAATACAACATGAAAAATCGCATTTTTTAACGAGTAAAATATCGCAATACAATTTTATGTATTTAATACATACATGTTATGTGTTTTCATCTTTTACTAAGTTGCACAATCTACATAACCATCAACACATGTTTTTCGCTACTACTTACCCTTATTTTGTGTGCTTTAACACAATTTTTATACCCGACCAAAAGGTGGGGTTTGTTGGGTAGTGGTGTGTGTAACGTGGGGACGTTCCGCCCCATAAGTTCTGCGCCATAGCCGGTCTGCCGCGCTGCCGCTGTCCGTCTGTCGTCTGTCGTCCGTCTGTGAGCGCCTTCAGAGCTTATGGCTGGGCACCATTGGCCAGCTCATGTGCCCGCCGCCCCCCCCCTCCGCCCACACGGGAAGGGCGGCCTTTTAGTGTATAACGCGTTCGTGGTGACCTCTCCAGCTGCCGATGATGTCGGTTTGCCAGATGAGAACGGCCCCGCCCCCCCCCAACACGCCTCCCCCCCCCGCCGCGTTCGGCGCGCCCTAGCGGGGGGTGTAGAATATGTGACGTACATCTACTGTTAGTGTAGAATAGACATTGATATGTGTGTAGTACTGTAGCAAAAAAATTTAAAATTTTTTTTTTCTAAAATTCTAAAAAATCTAAGCTAAAGTATATACTGACTGGTCGGGTGGGTCGTGTCCCAGGCGACTCACGCCTCTCGTTTAATTCCAACTGATGTGACTTTTCGTTCAAACACCTGATCTAAACAACTGGGCCTTAACTGGGCCACAGTATTTGAACGCCCTACAGAAATAAGATGGCAAATCAAAGAAGTAAATTATACATATTTTTATTTTATATGGTTTTATACATTGATTAACTTTGACATTTGTGAACAGATTTGCTTATATGTAAAAGGTATTTTTATTTAATTTGGTCCTTTAGAGTTGATACCTCCGGCCTTTTTTTTTTTGTGGAGTTATTTAAAAATCAAAGTTTACGCCAGCAATCCTCTTACCATTGATGATCTGGAGATCTGCGTGGCCAATAAATAGTAACATTGTTGGATGTGTGACATGGTGCACCGTTTTGTTGAAGCCAGTAACCGTTCAGAACTTTTTTCATTATCGAAAAAGAAGTGTAAAAAAACCAAGCATGTTTTACTTTTTCCAATAAAGCATTACCTTTATTGACGTGGTTTTTTTAAAATTAGTTTGAATAAATTCTAAAGGACCAAATTATAGAAAAATACCTTACACATATCTATATGCAAGTCGGTTCACAAATTTTAAAGTTATTCAATGTTTACATGGAGTACTAAAACTTGGCATACCCTGTACTGTGTTCACAAACGGCCGAAGCTTAAAACAGAAAGAAAATTAAAAATAGCGCAATTTTAGACAACTTTTAAGCTTTGGCGCAAATAATATGATAATAATAAAAATAATATAATAATAGTAATAGTAATATATAAAAATGTTAATCATTTTTATTTTTCCGACCCTATAAAGTATATGTCGGGACATGGTCGTTGTTGTCAAGCGCCTCTCTTTCATCCGCCATATCTCAATGAAAATTCGCAGCACTGCAAGTCGCAAGCGTTCGTCTTTCCCCCTCTAGAACTGGACTGAATCCACCCTTCGTTTCCCAACACTTGCAACACGCTCATCTGAGAGCAACTCTCGCTCTCAGACTATGCTATCAGCAACATTGAGTCTATACCAAATGAACCAATTAACAGTTCCATTTAACATTTATTGTTTGTGATAACAGAATAGTAGTACAATTTCTCATTCTCTGACATATACATATATTCTTGATCAGAATCAATTGGCGAGTCGATATATCTACGTCTCTCTGTCTGTCCGTCCGTCCGTCTTTTTGAGTGACTAGATCATAGAGACTATAAAAGCTAGAGTAACCAAATTTCGTATGAAGACTTCTGTAAAATCACAGATATCCAGGGAATGTCAAAAATTAGCCCCGTCCCCACAAAGTACGAAAATCTATGGCATACACAACTTTTAAGATAAGAGAAAGCCGAAGACGCAGTATCAGAGAAAATGACCATATCTACAAGATCGTATCAATATTATGGCCAGAATGAAAAAAATTAATTTGCAGTGGCTACGCTACCCCCTTCAAGCGCTGCAGCGCTACTCATTCTATCTCTCGCTCACACACTCTGTATCGGCGCGCTCTGGCGGAGGAGAACGAACTAAAACGCCGTGTTGGTGTGAGAAGAGAAAGACAGATGCATCAAGAAAATAGCGGAAAATTGAAAACAGATAAAATAATCTAAAATCTGACTGACTGAGTACCGGACGTTTTAGGAGTATTTTTGGTTAGAATTGTTCAATGAAAAAAAAATTGACTTGTTTTAAAATCTCCTTAGAGAAAAGAAAATTTGGCAAACTTTCTATTTTTTGTTTTTTTTAGCTTTGAACACCGCGAGCTCCACGCGAAATATTTGTTTAACATGTTTTTAAATATTTCTCAACCTATTTACATACAGCTGTGTCATAAATAATAGCACCATGACAATTACTTTTCTGTATTGAATGAATTTGCTTAAACAGGGGCTTTAATTAAGATTTAGGGTGTAATTAAACCAGGTCTCGACACGGCCCTATCTAATTTGCTGCTGCACTGTCGGTAGACGTACAGTATGAAAAAGCAGCAAGCATTCGTGTGGCTTGGGCAATGAGATTTCGGCTCTTGTTGTCTCGAGAACGACAATGAAATCAGTTGTGCTCAGCCGACGACAAATGCAAGACCACGCTGCGCAACTATTTGATGCGACACTGATAGAAAACATGTTTCATGGAAATTTTGTCGCAGTGTAAAGCATAAAATGTTTTCGGTCGCAGGCATCTTAGAGTTTTCGCTACACACACAAGCGCACTTTAAAACATGTCACTGTATGCGTGCCGAGAACTGAAATAAACTAATCCGAAAGCAATGGTATGTATTGCGGACTTCAAACGAAAATATTTGAAAAGAAAAGGAATTATTCATTAATTAAGCCGGTAACAATAATAGTACTGATTTACAAATTTTCCATTAAAGCAGGTTACTTTAGTTTTATTCAAAGTTTAATGTTTTGTTGTAAAGCCTTTGGAAGAAACCACAGAGGCCGTCGTCTTGTCATGAAAGTTCACCTAATTTTCGCATCTTTTCTGGGAGATATGGATCCACCAATAATGAATGATACCCCAAAGATCAATATTGCTCTTTGGTTTCGTAAAAGAAACATATTTTGTAGCTTTAGCGTAAAGATTTTTAATGGGGTTAATATCTGGGAACTACACAGGCCAATACATTACATTAAATGCACTGTTCTCGAACCACTTTCGAGCTTCCTTGCTGGTCTGGTTTGGATCATTGTCCTGATGGCAGACACAAAACAATGGCGTTTCCCATTCCATGTAAGGTAGCATCATTTTTTTCTAATAGATGAATAGATAGAAATGTTGATCCATCATCTATTTGTGACATGTATTGGACCACCTCCATAATACGAAACGTGTGCCCATGCAATAATGCTTATCCCTTAGTGTTTCTTGGTTTTATATGCTACTCATGAGGTTGTATTGTGCATTAGTTGTCGTTTTACATAAGATCGACAGCCCTTTCCACAAAAAAAAAAATTTTGTCTTTCTTCGGACCACATGATGTTTCTTTGGGACAACTCCAGTGCAATTTTTATTACCGTACTCAAAAAGAGTTAAGGGGTTTATTGTATTTGTGGTAGAACTGGATGTGTGCAACGCAGAAGGGGAAACGTTTCCGACCCCATAAAGTGTATATATTCTTGATCAGTATCAATAGCTGAGTCGATATAGCCATGTCCGTCTGTCCGTCTTGATGAGCGCCTAGATATCAACATATGGGGCAGGCACAATTTTAAAGATACGATTAAACTAAGAACGCAGTATCGTAGAGAATGGCCATATCTACCAGATTGCCGAATCTGAATCAAATCGGATCATAATTATAGCCTTCTCCAGTCAGAGACCCGCTACTCATTCTCTTTCTCGCTCGCACAGTCTGCCTCGTTCACTTCGCGAGTGCCCGCTGGCAGAGAAGATGTAGAATGGTACATGTATAATCTACATTTTAGATGTAGAATATACATTGTAGATGTAGATAACAGATGTAGAAAAAATTTAAAATGTAAAATATTTTAAAATTCTACATGATTTTGCTTTAAATTAAGTTTATTTCATGAAGATATCTTCATTCGTTTAGAAGCTATTATTTTTGCAAAGCTGAAATAGCCGAATGTACCACTGAGCGGCTGGCATCACTTTTCGTTTTTATGATTCTGAAGAAGGTCAAAATCAAAGCACAGGCAAAAAACAAGAAAACTTTTCAACTTGCTCTCTAATGCAGTTGGCTTCTCTATTTGTTTTGCTTTGACTGCGACTTCTGATATTTTCGGAAAAATAAACATAAGCAATGAAACTTATCGCAAGTGCGTTACATACATCCACTTCGACCAAAAATCTAATATACCCCTTAACTCTTTGAGTACGTGTACAAAATATATATAAAACTTCGTCTTGGTGACTGCGCAAAGTCAATATTCAATATTTTCACTATTTTGATTTTTTATTTGCGTCCATACAAGATATGTCAACCCGAAGTTAAAGTTTTCTCAAATTTGTTACGTTCCTTCAACTTTGGCATTTTATAAATACTTTTTGATGTTAAGGTTGTTTTTTATAACGATTTCTCTATTTACTTTAATTCCCATTAGAAAAACAAACTAGTAATCATAAATTTAATGAATCACAACGGTAACACTAGTCAACACGATTTTTCCTTAAGGAACAAAACGAACTTTTTCTTAAAGATTTGGGGCTTAGAAATGGTTTGATGATATTTTTTTTTTTTTCTATGGCAGAACTTTTTATACCCGTACTCAAAAAAGAGTTAAGGGGTATATTAGATTTGTGGTAAAAGTGGATGTGTGTAACGCAGAGAAGGAAAATTTTCCGACCCCTTAAAGTATATATATTCTTGATCAGCATCAATAGCCGAGTCGATATAGCCATGTCTGTCTGTCCGTCTGTCTGTCTGTCTGTCTGTCTGTCTGTCTGTCTGTCTGTCCGTCTTGTTGAGCGCCTAGATCTCAGAGACTATAAGAGCTAGGGCAACCAAATTTGGTTTCCAGACTTTTGTGATATTACACTGCTACAAGTGTATTTCAAAATTTCGCCCCGCCCCCTTCCGCCCACACAAAGAACGAAAATCTGTGGCAGGCACATTTTTAAAGATACGATAAAACTAAAAACGCAGTGCGTAGAAAATGCCCATATCTACCAGATTGCCTAATCTGAATCAGATCGGATCACCCCCCCCCCCCCCCGCGGTAATCATAGCCAGAATGAAGAAATTAATTTTCTGTTGGTTCCCTCTCCTTCTCCAGCGCTGCTGACGCTTCTGATTCTCTTTCTCGCTCGCACACTCTGCCGCGTTCAGTGCGCGAGCAACCCCTAACGGAGGAATTCAAAAAAATCATATGCTCAAAAATGTATATACTGACTGAGTACGGGTATAAGTAGAGTCGCGTCCCTAGAAGCGACTCACACGTTCCTTCTCGTTTTTAAAGAATTTTTGAAAACTGGTATTTTTTTTTAAAGCTTTTTTCAGAGGTAGCGATTGTTTTTTTTACATAACCCTAGTATCTTACGTATGGTTGTAAAGAACTTTTCCTGAGTTTTTAAAGTCAAAATTTCGTAAAAAATACCGCACAAAAATCATAATTTTTGCATTTCAATGCTTTATATTTCCCAGACGGTAAGTTGAAATCACAAAATGTTTGGGCTTAACTTTTAGCTGTTTCAATTATCTTTTCAAAATAGCAAAGTTCTTTACAACCAGACGTAAGATACTAGAGTTATGTGAAAAAAAAGCGCTACCTCTGAAAAAAGCGTAAAAAAAAAATTACCAGACTTCAAAAATTCTTCAAAAAAAAGTTCTGCCATAGAAAAAAAACCATAATTCTTAAAAAAATTTTAAAGCCCCATATCTATGAGAAAAAGTCGGTTTGGATCCTTGAGGAAAAAAAAAGTTCGATTTTGTCGAGTAGTGTAATCAGTTTGTTGTAAAACATCTCCAATTACACTATTCGACACGACATTTCCGCTGTGGCCCAAAGTTACTTTTTCTGATGGATTTCGGAATTTAAATTTTTTTAAAGAATTAATTTTTTTTTATGGTTAATTTTTTTAAAAGAATTTTTTTAAATCTAGTATTTTTTTCATGTTTTTTTTCAGAGGTAGTGCTTCTATTTTTCACATAACTTAAGTATCTTATATCTGTTTGTATAAATTTTGCCGTTGACAAATGCAGCTGTAAATCCGATCCAGACACATTGTAGCTGCAGCTTAACGTCTGGAAGATAATAAGCTTTAAAATTCAAATTTGATAATTTTTTTGCGTTATTTTTTCCCGAAATTTTAACTTTAAAAACTCTGGAAAAGGCGAAAAAAAAATATTTCTTGGCATGAATTTTTGGTTTTAGATAGACGCATTAATTAGGTGTCGTTAAAGGTAGTTGAAAGAATCGATGGATAAAGTTACAGCCGTTTAACCAAAACGACTCAAAACTCGTTTTACCTGAAAAATACCGTACGGTACGTTGCTGGTCCAGCTGCCAAAATGGGATTGAAGGAAACAAAAAGGACCTATGACCGAGTCCTAGGTATGGACAGTTACTTTTACTCCAATGCTGTGGAGAAAACCATAGATTCACGGCTCTGAATGTTTCTTTTGTTCATTCAAAATAGCTGGAATCGGGAGATCCATGAAATGGGGTTACCCGAAACAACCTGGTCAATTTTGGTCTACAGCGAGTTAAATTTTGTCGAGTAGTGTTATATAAAAAATTGTATCTAGTTTATGAAAGTGCGCAGTAACCAAAACGCGTTTTAAAGTAGGCAGACGTGGTCTTTTGCGCCATGCTAAGTATATAATCACTATTGCACAGTGGTTATACTAATTGAATTTGGTGAATATTGCAAATTATTTTTAATCGGTCTAATAATTGTCTATCTCTTCTCTTTTATCATGTAGCCCATTTACTTAAGTGTCCGTCTTAAGCCAAACAAAGGTACTTGTAGATCTTGTGTTTACACCTATACACAGACTTCTCAAAAAAGCGAAAACAGCCCAACATCACCTCTACCCGCAGTCAAAAACACATGTCCCTATTCCAATAAATTGTTTGGGGAAATTGTATGCAAATGTAAAAACAAACATAGCAGGGAAAAGCTTACAGATGTAACCGCTGTACGTAATTTATATGACTCCCGAAAAGTAAGTCAAAGTGAATATAAAGAAGGAATTACTCTCGCGAATTTTCCGAGTATAACTATTAATGTATTTGACTCTGATAATATCTGCGTGTGTTTGTGTGCACAACTATCTAGTAAAAGTTTACCATTTGACGATCAAATGAAAAGAACTGATGAAATAAGTTGCGTCATCTGTCGGAATAAAGGCAAAATACATAGAGCAGCGTACCAACATAATCTCTTTTCGGAGAACCTTTTGCTCGCCCAAAACACAATAATTTGTCCAATCGATCAACAGCATCTCAACACAGATATTAAACATTTGCATGATGATCCATATACTCCAGAAAGTAATGAGTCCCACTCACCATATGCGGAAATAACAAGCACATGTACGTCAATCTCCAACCGAATTCGCAATCCGTTTGATCCCAGACTGTCACTAGACGCACACTTTGAAACTAAAAATACGGATTTGGATCCTTCGGCTGACGGAAAGCCAACAAAAACAATCAATATTAACTTAGAAAAACAACCAAGAGGGACCGTAACTCCTGACCAATTAAAATCTAGGTTACAAAATTTAGAGACGTTATCAAAACGTTCTTTGGGGGGTGACGACACTTCTGTTTGGGAAGGTGATGTTGAAAATGTTAATAATGTATGCTCCCCAAATGATTATCCATCTCGCACAAGACGCACTTCAATTGGTATCCCTATGTGTTGTAATATTAATTAACACTAGTTTGTTTTTATTAAGTCATTTTGCTTAAAAAAAGTATTTTAAGGTCATCTCTGCTGTTGGAGAATCTTTTGTTGAAAGACAATGTAATTTTGATTATTTTTAAACACAATATAAAAAAAATTTATTTTCTTGCTATAATTTTTTTTAACTAAAAAGAATAGTGAAAATTTAAAAATATTTTGTAATATAAAATTTTGCATTTTAAATATAGTACAATCATTATTTATAACCATTTCAACCTGTGGCAGAACAATCATTATAACAAATTAAAAGTTATTTTTCTGTTAAAAAATGAAATCTATAAGTATTGTACATACAGTGGGGAGCATTCATGGATACATGTTCATCCCTTCTCAGTTTAAACGCTTGTAAAATCTTTAAAAAGTAGTCAATCCTTGTAATTTTTTAAAAATATATTCTTTAACTATAAAGAAATTAAGCAAAACAATAATTACAATTAAAATCATCTTCACTAATAGATTTAGTCAGTGTATCCATTTTTGCACGTTTTCAATTTTTAGATTCGTAATTTTTTTTTTTAATTTGTTGTGCAAAACAAATACCTCAGCTTTTATCACACTCTGAATACTTTTGGGCATACTCTCGACTAAATCGACTGATCTGACTGATATGTGTTCGACAGGTATCATGCGGCATGGTCTCCAAAATATGATGCTAATATTCTTTGTTCATCATTCCATCGATTTTAACCACACATTCAGGCTGCCTACTCCATGATTCATTATTTCTTTGACCTTATAATTATTCAGCCTTTTTTGGTCGGTGTCAGTAGTACTCCTTGTCGTCAGATTAAAACGGATTATTTTGGTCTCAGCTGACCAAATTACCTTCTTCCAATCTTCCATGCTCAAGCTCTTTAAGACGTGAAGCAACATTTTTATACAAAGCATTTATACTGCTTAGCTACCGCTGTCAGGCCGATCTCGTGCAGAGTTCTTCACTCACTCACGGGCTCAAAGGAATATTGGCTTATTGGTTAAAATCGAGGGAATGATAAATAAAGAATATTAGTGTCATATATTGGAGACCAATTTGACAAATCTTGACAAATTTGACAAAAAATGACGATCACTTTCCAGCAAGACGGGGACCCGAAGAACATGGCTTAAATCGTGATTAATTGGCTCAATAATAAAAGTTTCCCCTTAATTTTGTGGCCTGCCCAAAGCCCGGATATACAGTTGTGTTCAATGAAATAGTAGTGCCGCACCTCATCACTTTCAAAACTCTTTTTGAGACACTTCCAGTTATCCAAATTGAACAAATGATACCTTTTTAAATAGACTGGACTGTTATTATTAGAAAACCGAAGAAATGTCAATTCATTTGAATTCCATTTTCTTGTTTTACATGACATAAGCCGAATACCCATGAAATTTGCTGTTCAATGAAATAGTAGTGTTTTTTTAGAACATTGAAAAAAACAACGAATCTCAAATAAAAACATATATTTCATGTTTTTCATGTTTCCTGAGCTTTAATATTTAGTTTTTAATCAATTTGGTTTTCATTTCGAACTTGCACCGGCCGGATATGGGTCATTAACCTCTCTTGCCAACGCTTCAATAGCCGCGATGGATTTGAGCCAATGGACATGCCATGAACCACTTGCTAAAAACTTCCGGGCGGGTCAGCTTATCCGTTAGTTTGGCTCGTTGCCTCCAGTTTCGCTCAAAACCATACTATACTCAAACGCCAGGCCAGAAAGTACTAGCTCATATGAGCTGGGCCCCATAAGGCTCAGCCTAGCATGCCCAATGCTAATTTTTTCATGATTTTAGGTGGTAATCGGATTTCTGTGAATGCCAAACATAATCTTTTGAGTTTATCTTAACATATAATACAACTTTACTATCATTAGTCAAAAGTATTTTTGTCACTGTGACACAGGCCATTCCACATGCGTTTTTCCAAACTGAAGTCGTGCACCCATGTACTCTCAGACCCAAACGCGGAGCTTTCTGGGACTTCTTGCATTCAAATAATGTGTAATCAACCGTCTACGAACTGACACATCACTGACAGAGCGATAAAAAATTTTTTTCATAATTTATGAGGACATTGAAGGCCTGGTGTTGCCTTCGACCATCGCCGACCATCCTCTAAAAAATATGTTTTTCGAATACAAAATCGATTTTCAGTCTACTTCTTATAGTTAATTAATTAAACACAATAGTGAGAGTGCATACAACTTAGTTTTCAATCCCATTATACCTCCTGCCTTAAGTTTTTAGTTTAACTCTTAGGTCTCCTCTTCTTGACCGAGCAATGATTTCTCCAACGGCTCAAAATCAAAAGTACCGCTATGTCCAAAACTTTCTTTCATCAAATTATTCAATCACCAAATTGAGCTTACGGATGGTGACTTTTTTAAATTAATTTGCTTTGTTTTTTCATTTTTAAAAATAAATTTAACCCAGCACTACTATTTCATTGAACAGCAGATATCATGGGTAGTTGTCTAAAGTCATAAATAACAAGAAGATAGAATGCAAATGTAATGGGGTTTCTTCAAGTTTCTAATGCTTACATTCCAGGCTTTCCGTAAAGGTATCACTTGTTCAATTTGAAAGACTAGAAATATCTCAAAAAGGGTTTTGAAAGTGATGAGGTGCGGCACTACTATTTCATTGAACACAACTGTAAATCCCATTGGAAATCTATGGGATCTATCTTCCTTTAAAAACGATTGGAAAAGTATGAGTCGGCACTAAAGGAATTGGATGAGCTTTGGGACCGCGTGCAGACTAAGTGGCGCATGATACCTGTCGAACACATATCAGACATATTCGAAAATATGTCCAAACGTATTCAGAGTGTGATAAAAGCTAAGGGACTTTGCAGAACATTTTTTTTTTAAATTTATGAATTAAAAAAATTGGTAACGTGCAAAAGAGAATTTGATTTTTTTTTCAACTAAAATCTCTTAGTGAAGACGATTTTTGTTAATTTTAATTATTGTTTAGTTTAATTTATATATAACTAAAAAATATATTTAAAAAAACCACAAGGATTGACTACTTTTCAAAGCTTTTACAGGCGTTTAAACTGAGAAATGATAAACATGTATCCATGAATGGTCGCCGCTATAGATATGTAGATTCTGCAAAAAGTTTTTCATACATTCATTTGACAACTAGTTTTATATACATTTATTTATTTATTTTCACAGTGGAAGATATTCAGCATAAGACCGTTACAACTTTTTTCACTTTCTTTTGAATTTGTGTATTTTTTATTTTTAGTGATCTATTTAAGAAAATAAACACTTACTATACCTTAAACATCGTTTATATTTTTTAAACTATAGTTCTCATTTTCAATATCAGAATATTTGTGTGTGTTGTGGAAGATCAAAGCTTTAAACCGCTTTAATAATTTCTTTCCCTTAGTCTCGTGAATGCACATGTAATGAATCGAAAAAGCCTAGGCTCACCCATCAGAATTAAAAGGTTACAAACCTTTCAATTAATTCTTAAGTTAAATGTAATTTGTATTATCAAATCGTTAAAGTGCATTATAAAATATCCAAACAAATTTGTTGGATTAAAACTTATGCTCAAAAAAACTTTGAAAGTCATAAGTGTGCCTAAACTTTATTGATTCACGTACACGTACGACTTTTAATTATACACAAAAAAAAAAATGTATTGATTGGTTTTCTGACGGTATTTAAACCATTTCAGTTTATTAATCTAGTTTTTTCTGTTGTTATAGGCTCAGCTTATAACCCTCATCTTCTGGAATCCTTGAAGGTTTTAGAGCATCCACCCTTGAATGATGATAGTCTTTGGATGGAACAATCAAACTGTTCTTCGAACAGTTTGGCTGCCAAGTCGCATTATATTCGTATGAAGCCCGTCTCTACCAGTCCGAGTAAAAATGTGAAAGACAACAACGGTATTCTTTCTTGCAAAAATGAAGATTGCACCAGTCTTGACAATGATAATCTACTGCTACTAAAGGAAACCACTGTTTAAAAAAATTACGTCAAGATTTGTGTAGAATGGTCCAATTACTTGTACCTTAAAGTATTGTTTTGAAATTATGAGTGTTAAATGCGTCCATCTTAGATAATGTATTTCAATTGGAGAGCTGGGAATACTTAAAATATATAAACACGTGTACTTTATTAATTCTTGAATTTATTTTAGAGAAAGTTCAGAGATGATTCATGTATCAAACTATTCAATAAGTTTTTTTGCTTTAAAATATCTGCGAAGATACAGGACTTGCCACGTAGCCAAACCAAGCAAACAGCACATGCTGAAAATGCTAAAGAAAAGAACCCGACTATTGGTTTTTTCTGCAATAGAAAAATTAAACAAAATTATCATATTCTGTTCATGAAGGTAGTTTTCGGTTTTACCATTTGTGTCACGCATTTCTTCCTCTCGTTTGCGCATTAGAATAAAATCACGCACTATAGAATCGGAAAGGTCTTCCAAGCGTTTAAGGTCAACTTCAAGAGGTTTTAGTTTGGAAGCTTCACCAATCTATGGAATCGGCGTTTAAATCATAAGGTAATACTCATTTTAAAAAATCAGTTGCACTTACACCTTCGTAGCTTTTAGTTTCTACTCCTTTTTTTGTTACTAGCGACACCTCTTGCGGAATTCCTCGTTGATCTGTGGTAATATTTATTTTAAAATATTATTGTGTAGAAGGTATTGTTTTACATACGTGGTGGTACTTTTGAAATGAAGCATATTTCGTAGGCGTCATATACTTCTGACATAAAACTGAACTTTCCTTTGGTAATGTGCTCCTTTTGTGACAATATATGTCCTTTTGTGTCGCGGGCCTAGTTTTATAGTTTTAGTTTGATTTCGTTATACCAAAAAATAGTCAAACTTACAACATAGTCGATGATTTGACCAGGCACATCGGAAACTTCGTATTCACCCATTACCAATTGATTTGCCTGAATGTCTTCTTTGAGGCACTTTTGTGTGTTTGGCGCCAGGTTAAACATAACACTGCTACTTGGCCAAACATATACGATGAATAAAAAATAAAAAAACGTTGGTTTTGCCATGTCGTGAATTTCAATATAAATAACTTAATGAATGACAGAGATGAGGTGGCTAACTTTTCTTCTTCCTACTTTATACTCGACATTCAACCTAAATTTATTGACATTCCATTACTAATACAACCCTGCATATTTTCAGTGCTGAAAAATGTGCACCAAAAGCATTATTAATGGTACTCGTTATTTGTATTTTAATTTGCCTAAAATATTGTTGATATAATATGATGGCAGTGTATCTGTACATGAAAAATGATACAACTGTTGACTTATAGGCTGTTTACATTGGGGCTGCGTCATGCTTCTTTGCGTCTTGCCGGAGACGCAGTTTTTTTTACATAGGTTAAGCATAGGGCCCTAGTGGTGGCAAAAAGTTGCGTCGGTCTCTGATTCATGTGCGTCTATTCGATATATTCGATTGCTTTTGCGCTTAACTGCACATTTTTGCACTTTTCTGCCTATCAGCGCAACTATCACCTCTAAGAACAACAAAAACTTGTAGTTAAAAAATCAAATTTTGGCGCTAAAATGAATGGTTGTGCAGAGAGGTGAAAATATACATAAAATCATGAAATAAAATACTTGAAACCGATTGTATTATTATCATACGACATTTTTGTGATACCCTGATGCCATTATGAAACTGCTGGAGACGAACTTCGGTGGTTTTCATAATTTGAAGAAGAACTCCCACAAATCTACAATGAAATGTCTGAAAATAATATTTAAATATGAGAATCAGCTCTTTTTCGTCCATTTTCCTGACATCTTGCTTAATTCTGTTGATTTTCAAAAATTTGTGTATCTTTCCTTGTCATCAAACACCCAAATCCAAATTCAAGACGCACGTCTTCCAATGTAAACGCCTTTTCTGCTTCATTGCGTCTATGCCGATATCGATAGCAGACGCGCCCAGTGTAAAAAGGCTATTAGAGGTCTGGAGACCCTGGGGCAACGAAAGAGCGAAGGACTCTAAATATTTATATCGATAGAAATACGCCCCAAAGCCTACTATTCAGTTGAGCCTAGTACTCAGATCCAAAAACTGTTTGCTAGCAAATATGTGTATGTCATATATCATTCTAGCAGCCAGTGGTGTGACCAGAGGTATGCACTGCATTCCGTACGGTTACACTGCTCAGACAGCTTTTTGGTTTTGTTTAAAGTAAGCAAAGTTAATATAGTGCACTTCGTCGGCTGGGGTCGCTCTTCACCAGGCATATCCTGGGCTCCCAATATTTTATTGTCTGGCTATCAGCAGCAGCACATGGTGACGCGTCCCGCAGAAAACCGCAACCGATCACCGTGAGGAAAACATGTTTTGAAGACATAAAAATGAATAAAAATAATCAATTATAATATCCATATAATTGTCCTATATATAGCTGACTTAATTAGATTCTATTTTTCTTCATTATATAAATATTTAATTTCATTTCTTGTCTTCAAATATCAACCCTGATTCTGTTCGCGAGCTGTTTTTCGGGTCTGAGTACTAGTCTTTAGAAAACCATTTTTTTCTTTTTTTATAAATAGGACGTTTTGAAATAACTTATAGCCTATTCCCACAGAAAACACAGAACTACAGCCAAGACAATTGCCAAATTTGTATCCAATCTTTCTTAATAAACAACAACATTTTCTACACAAATCATTGTTATTTTATGCTCTTCAAGCTGTTTTTCCATGGAATGGATGCTGCCAGTGGGAATAGAAGTTTTACATCTGTTAAAAATTCCCACCGCTAGAAATGCTGTATAGCAATAATACAAAAAAAAAAAAAAATGGAATATATTATGTTGGATTGAAGGCTCTTGCTGAAGCGAAGGAAGAGGTCCAAGGGAAATATATGAAAAATTTGTATACAAAATATTTCGTCCATCCCAGTACTCAGATCAGCTTAATATTTTGTCAACAAGAATTTCTATATATTTAGCTCGGTACCCAGTGTGACCAATGTGGGAAAAGTGCATGCTCTATCGTTACACTGTTTTGTGTGTTAAAGACTATTACTCGGGTCCGAAAAATCTGCACGCTAGCCAAAGGGTTGATATTTGTATGAAACCGATAAGAAATTTGTTCGTGCACAAACTGTTTGCTAGGGTCTGTACAGCAGTAGTATGCCGATAGATACTAGAAAAGCAGCCAATGGTACACTACCCGACAATTTAATAAGATATGGTTAACACGTTTATAAGATCCATAATTTTTACAGCACAATCTAAAGAAAAGGGTGAGTTCGAATTATTTTGTTCAATTCCGTACAGAGCCTAGAAAACAGTTTTTGCCAGAAAAAATTTCTTATCGGTTTCATACGAATATCAACCCCGATTCTGTTCTCGAGGTGTTTTTTCGGATCTGAGTACTAGGCTAAAAGACAACTGCTAAATTATTTTGTCGGATTCGTATCTTTTTCATACGAATATCATCCCTGATTCGGTAAAAAAAAATAAAGCTGATCTATGTACTGGGCTTTATAAAATAAATTTTTGTACATATGTATTTTGTTAGTCAAATTTCCTTTAATTTGATTCTTAGTATACTGATAGCCAATCAATTCAAATCAAAAGTGTATCCACGAAATCACTATTGTCGAACCATAATCATCTCATGTAAAAACTCACGTAACATATTGGTTCACGACTAGTCTAGTCTCGTCTCGGAGATACCGCCGCTGTAAAAATTTACGGCTTAGGACGCGTTAAGCATTTTATCTACATACACTTTTGTAAATGTGCGAGTGGTGTCAGTGTGTTGTGTGGTTCTTTAAGTAGACAAAAATCAGTTTTCTAAAAGTTTTAAATAACAAACTATACCAGTCTTGAGTTTTGTATAATTTAGTTTTAAAGAGGTAATTTCGATAAATAAATATAAAAAGCTGCACTCTTGTAAACTTGGGCATCATGCATCTTTTTCCAGGTAGCAAACTGCTGCAAATGTCAGGCGTGGATCAGGTAATTTTATTTTTCATAAATATGTGTACAAACATATGTGTACATATAAATATATGAATTTATTTATATGAATACGTGCATGCATGGATGTACACACATACACGTGCACTTATGTATGTATATACGTATGTCCGGTTGTTAAATTTTGGTTTATGCGGCTTGTAGCAGGAGCATTTTTAAAATTATATATTCACTTCTTTTTGCAGATGAAAATATCAGGAAATACAGGTAATCTACTAAAAACGTTACATTGGGCTTTTTAATATTTAAAGACGTAAAATGGTCTTTCATTTATATACATACCCTTGCAGAGAATAAAATTCCTATGGCAATAGGATTGCAACCCAGGGAATAAATCGTTAAGTATACATATGTATGTATGTTTGTACTTTACTGCCGAATCGATATAGATATTGTCCGTCTGTCTGTTTCTTACTCTGTTTTTAAGTCATCTGAACATAACTGCACGGACTCCTATGTGAAGAAGAAACCACACTCAAAAGACTAGTTTTATGTGTTTTTCATAGCTCTCTGAAATAGATCGAACTCAGATTGCTAAATTAAAAGCTTAAATATGAAGGTTCGGTCTGCAAGGGTATACGCTTTGGGCGATGCGAGTCTTCCTTTCTTGTAACATTCATTAATGTCATACCAAAATCTAATAGCAAAATCGGTTGAGGAGCGTAATATACCATGGAGCCAACAAGTCGATGAAGCATCGTATGAAAATTTATCTTCTCCAAGCCATGATGATTGCTCTGGTATGATAAAAACTACTTTTTTATATCTTTCATTAAGCTAAATTATTTAATTCCTTTGATTTTCATAATAAAAAGTTCATGAAAACTCGATGCAATTCCAATATCCGCCGTTTAATCTTAAAGAGAACTATAATCTACCATGGAGTAACATGAACAAGGGTCGACAAATTTCTGCAGACCATGGTATGTATTGCTAATTTAAAATACTAAGTAATTTAAAGAAATCATCTAAACAATCGTAAACATATCTCTAAAAGAAAAAGTATTTTTCTGATTTATATTACCTATTACTTCTAACAAAACACACCGCATCCCCAAGCAGAATGGTCTGTTTGTAAACTAGGAAAGTACTTCCAGCTTTGAAAGTTTGGAAACACAGATCAACACAGACAATATCAATACATATAATAAAGTCATCAAATAGTAAACCAGGCTTCGTAAAACGTTTTATTACACAAAAAGTGTTTTGCGTGTTAGAAATATGGGTATGTACACAATAAGCTGGGCCAAAATTTAACCACAAAAATTGTTTTTTGTTTTTTGTTTTTTCAAGGGGACACCCCCCAATTCTGTTCTTTCTTATTCAATAAAATTATAAAATTTTTTTCAAATTTTTAGTTTAATATTTGGGGGTTGTTAGCACGAAAAAAAAAAAATATTTTTTGGGTAAATATACATTCAAAAAAATTGAATTCGTCGGTTTTTGCAAATAATATTTAAACTTAGAAACTAGTTCATATTGATAAGGTAAAATTATTTTATTTTTTAGTTACTGTTAAAAAATTCACGATTGGCGAAATATTTAGTTAACTAGTTCGCAAAAACGTGTGCTGATTTTTTTTTTCAATTCCGTACAGAGCATAGAAAACAGTTTTTGCCAGAAAAAATTTCCTATTCGACATGAAATGATCAAAATAAAGCTTACGTTAGAAATATACTATTTTTTGTTTTGCCGAGACGTGAACACCCACATCACCGTTAGTGCGATCTTCAGTTCATCATCTCCCGTTCTCGACGTTGCCGAGTTAGCGCCAATGTTGAGCGACTCTCGCCACGCTTCAGGATGCTTAGTCTCTTGCTATCTCGTACAGATGGCCCGCTCTTCCTCAGTCATATTCGAAAACCGTCTTCTCGATCCTTTGTCGCTATTGCTCCGGTTTTCGTACATTTTTGCGATTACGATTTTGGGACAATTCGTACGAATTGAAATTGTTTGCGCTTCGGTTTTCGTAACTTTTTCCTATCGATAGTGTTTCATTCCAAAATTGTTTTGCGATATTTGTCTTGAAAAAAAACTTTGGTTTGGAAATGAAAACATTTAAGTTAAATATGCCATCGTTTTGGCAATCCCATTATATAATAACAAAAAAATTATTGAATTAAGAACAGGACATTTTTACTCCTGGCCGATATTGATATCGATATTTTATCGATCAAATTCGCACTTTGTTGTTGTTTATGTTTATTTTTGCGAGGTAAAATATGGGTGCCATTAGAAATAAATTATTTAAATATATTAGGATATACGAAAATAAATTTTCAATTATATAAATATAGACTTAAAACACCAGAAAAAGTGTTTATTTTCATTACCGCTCGTAAAAGTTTTTATTTAGGTGCTGTGGAATTCGTTTTGAAATCGCGAGCTTATTAGCAACCGGTTTAAAATCGTAAAAGGTCTTGCGATTTACGAAAACCTGAACACGCATTGTTGCGACTTGACAGTCAAATCGCAACTTTTTTCAATTTTCGATAACCGGAGATTCAATAGATTCAAATAGATCTGTAATGCCATCTCAATCCTTTTGATACTTACTTAATACTTAAGCTGAACGCGAAGCATAAAATAAAACCAAAGCAATAACGAAATGAATATTTAATATATGATTAACCTTGTTGAACATGAATTGGTTAGCCAAAGAAATGGGAATAATCGAGCAGACGGTTTTAAAGATAAAAGCCAAAATATGACCTAAAATTGCGTTACATAAAACAGATGTGCTTTTCGATGTTGGGGTACGAAATGGCAAATTTTTGGTACATGTATATGAAATATGTAGTGTTCATTTTCGAAGTTATTAAATGTAAAAACCTTCCTTGTTTTTTTGCTATAAGCCGGCGGAGGCATCTGACGAACTTTACTGGCGTGACGTTACCAAATTTCGCGATAATAAGGGCCTAAAAATATACTGTTAACTGAGGTTTGACAAATGTTCTGATAATTTTTTAGGTGGTTCAATATGTTAGAGACTTTAAGGAGAAAATTTGATCAAGAACCATCTTTTCCTAGGAAATAATAGTAAAAGAAAACATGTCTATAAAAATACCAGAAAATACCAAAAACGTGAACTTTTTTTTATATGAATAGGTTTTTCGCATCAAAGTTAACGAAACTATATGTCAATAGAGTAAATTAGTTACCTTTTAATAAATTTAGAAAAAAATATTCCGAAAAAATTATATGGAAATCATGATTTTTGGGCCTGATGGACCTTTTGGCGGAACTGCCCATATGTGACAATTATTTTTCGAAATCGCTCGTTGTCAAATATTTTTCTGTTTTCGGTTTAAAGCGTCTATTGTTTCCCGTCACTGTGCTTTTATTCGCTATAAAAAGTAACTAATAGAATTTCCATAACGAATACAGTTTCCGTTTTAGATGAGTGTTGAATGTCAGTCAACGCAAACGGTTTTGTTTTTTTTTAATCCTAAGAAAGTCTGGGGATAAAAATCGATTTCTTCTCAGCTTCCTGCTAATATGTGTATTTGAATAATGTGAATAAATGCATGTTTTTTTTTGTTTCGTCCATTTTTTGTTTGTTTCTTATTTATTATTGGATAAATATTATTTGATTCGATTTGCAAAATTACTGCACACCAATATCTGTAAAAGTTAGTTTTTATAACTGTGGTTATTGTTAAGAATTAAAACGAAAATTTACCTTAGCTTTTAAAATATCTTCAGACCAGTCCTCTTTTGACATATTTGTTATTGCTTTGCTAAGTACCTTTTGGAGTTTTTCGACTTTGTTCTTAAACACATATATTATTTCTTGGGTGGTTGCAATTGGTTGTTTTGTGCACCAGCACTCTAGGTTGGTAACCAGTCCTATCGAGGCATATAAAATACCCGCTTCCTTGGACAATGTGGCTTCAGGACATAAAGTCATGCTGAGTAGATCCGCTCCCCATGTGCGATATATATTGTTTTCAGCAAGTGTCGAGTAACGAGGCCCTTCGAGTGTAAGAACTATAGCTTTCGAGTGCGTGGAGAGGTCAAGTTCTTGTGCAGCACTTAGAAGATGCTTCCTTGTACGCTCGCAGAATGCAGGGTACATTGGTAGATGACAGACACCGAAGGGACTGCCGAATGCACCATCATAGAAAGTCTGAGCACGCCTTGATGTGTGATCTATTAGATCGTGTGGCACGACAATATCTCCGGGTATAATATTCTCCTGCAAAGAACTAAGGGTGTGGGTTACCAAGATGTGTGTGCATCCCAATTTGCGCATGGCCCAAATGTTAGCTCTATAGTTAATATTTGTCGGCATTATATCATGCAGCCGGCCATTTCTAGAGAGAAGGGCACATTTTACGCCATCCATTAAGCCTTCAATTATAATGTCAGAAGGTTTTCCAAAAGGCGTACATACAGCATATTCCATTCGATTTTGAAGTAAGATTGTTTTATCCAAATCAGTATCTCCAATTATTCCAATTTTAATTGGGAAAGGATCTTCATTTATTGTTGCTAAATTATTTTCCATGTCTAACTTTAAATTTTAAGTGAACTTTTCGAAAATTTTTTTTTTTTATTTAATTTTATTTTTTTTTATCATTTGTAAAGATGATATTTGCTTCTAAGAAGACTTGTTCAAATCAACTATATATTTTCTAGAGATAACATTATTTGACAAAAACGAACTTGTTTTTCTCAAGAAAACCGACTTTTTCTGATAGATTTTGGGCTTTAAATTTTTTTAAACAATTATGGTTTTTTTCTGCGGCAGAATTTTTTTGAAAGAATCTTTAAAAACTGGTATTGTTTTAAGATCTTTTCAAAGGTAGGATAACTTACATTTGGTTGTAATGAATTTTGCAATTCTGAAAAGATAACACTAGTCAACACGATTTTTCCTCAAGGAACAAAACGAACTTTTTCTTAAAGATTTGGGGCTTAGAAATGGTTTGATGATATTTTTTTTTCTATGGCAGAACTTTTTTTTAAAGAATTTTTGAAAACTGGTATTTTTTTTTTTTTTTTAGTTTTTCTCACACCGTCTGGGAAATATAAAGCATTGAAATGCAAAAATGATGATTTTTGTGCGATATTTTTTACGAAATTTGGACTTTAAAAACTCAGGAAAAAATACCTTTTGGAAGGTTGCGAGCCCAACTGCCAATTGGGAACAAAGCAAAAGAAAAAGGGTTGTACATTTGGTACCTGATCGCGAACACGTATATAATTTTTTTTCGACTTCTAAGGTTGCAAACAATTTTGCATGTGTGCGATGCGTCCAGAAAAATACGTTTTTGTGCTCTTCTCTGATTGGTGTTTTCGCGCGCAAGCAAACTCCAATTTCAGTCATTGTGTTTTTGACGCACCCGACTTCAATTTTGATTTTGTTGTTATTTTGTCTTCGAGTTTGCAATAATTTATTTTATGTATGTAGAATTTTAAAATATGTTTAATTTGTTGCTACATCTGATATCTAAATCTACTTATACTATGTATATTATACATCTAAAGTGTAGATTATACAAACACAATGTAGATTAAACATCTTTTCCGCAAAAGTCGCGCATTGCATAGGGCAGAGTATGTGCGAGCCAGAAAGAGAATGAGCGTGGTCTCGTGCTGGAGCAGGAGGGGGAAGCAACCTAAAAATGATTTCTTCATTCTGGATATAATAATGATCCCATCTAATTCAGATCTAGGTCAGGTAAGGTTAGGTTGAGGCGGTTGTCGGGATCGCCAGGAACCCGACACACTTGGGCCGGTTACGGCCTGTTGTGATACCGCGTGGATCATGTCCTCTTCCCTTGTGAGACACTATGTCAGCAGTTGTCGCATCCGGATGCCCTTATGAAGTTTGCGATCTTTCTTGGACTCATAGTAGACATGTCTGATACGTCGTTCATGAAAGGTATTCCCAGGTATTGTAGCCTCCTTCTACTGAGAGCCGGACAGGAGCAGAGTAGGTGTCGACAGAAGTCGTTTTAGGGGGCACCCATCCTGTTAGCATTGGTGCCTATTCGCCAATGTCTTGTGAGGGAGCGTATGACTGAGCTGCACCTTTTTCTACTGAGCTATATAAGGCCATGTTTGCCGAGTTATGCGACATTGCGGTACAGTTTGCCACCGATTGTCTGTTAGTAGCTTAAAGTGCTCTTTTATAATGTGCTTACAAGTGGCTTACATTGTGCTTACATTGCCATACAAATGTCCTCCTTATCTTGGAGAAGGGGGATTGTAGTACCAGTTCTGGCCAGCTCATCTGCTATGCAGTTGTCTTCAATGTCCTGGTGGCCCGGGACCCATATTGGGCTAATAACAAACTGATGAGCCATATCGTGGAGAGACTTGCGACAGTTTGCCATGGTAGCCAAGCTCGATGTTAACGCATTTAGCGATTTGATCGCAGCTTGGCTGTCACTGTAGATGTTTAAATGAGTTGCCGTAGCCAACTCAAAGCTTCTTTGATCGCTATGACTTCCGCTTGGAAGACACTGCAGTGATCTGGAAGCCTGAAAGAGTGTCTTATGCTTACCTGTTCGGAGTAGATTCCCCCTCCGACCTTATTGTCCAGTTTTGAGCCATCTGTGAAGATTTGTATGGCTCCGTCTGGACCAGGTGGTCCCTCGAGCCAGTTGTCTCTGTGGGGGATAATTATTTGAAAAAGAGTATCTATGTACTCCTTCGGAAAACAGTAGTCCGTTTTTGTCGGGACGATCTCGTTTCCGTTTAGGATATTGGAGTGGTGCGTAGGACTCCACTGCACTATGGTCCCAATGACCACTTTTGTTGGCAAAAATTAATAACTCGAAAACGAAACAAGATTTTTCAAATTAGTTTCTTTTATTGTATATATATAATCAATAGGAAGGCGATTTACAAACAAAAATGGGTGTGGCACCGCCTTTTTTTTAATAATGCATATTAAAAAATAATTAATGATAGGAAATATCAAGTATTTATAACAGTTTTATTAAGAAATTAGTTTAACTAATTTTTATTAAAATTATAAAGGCGTGGCACGCATAAAAACAACAAAAATTTTGATTTGAAAAAAAAGTTGTTTGTAATTGTTGCCACCTAGAGAAAAGCCCTTGTGTCAGGGTGGAAAACGCTTTTTCCAGGGTGCTCGTTGGGTCAGAAAGTTTGCGGCTTTCTTACTGGGCATTCAACTTATTGTTTTAGCACAAAATAGAACGCCAAACAACTCTGTATTGTTGATTTTGAGGTTATATTCTACTAATGAAAATTTTAAGATTTGTGGTCAAAAGTGGTATTTCTTACTATATACATTTCAACAAGAATTTATTAATTTACATCACACAATAGATTTCAAGGTGGGACTAGGTGGGACTAGGTGGGACTCACTAAATATACTTTTTCAAAAATCAGTTTTCAATCAAAATTGGCTAAAAAAAGGACTCATTTTAACCTAAAAGTACTAAGACATCACAACTACGAGATACAGTTAACAATACAAAACACGTAGTAAAAACCCAACAAATTAAGATTCAATCAAAAAATTTGATCAGCTAATCGTATTTTTCAATTTATGAGAGATTTAAAACTGTAATTAAATTTACACTTTTTCACTGCGCGTGCTTTTCAGCAACAACAGCTGGGTTGCACAGCTGATTTTGCGAATGTGGCGCCATCTATGGGAATTTCTGGTACGCAACTTATAAGCTCACTCTTTTTCTAATACAAAGTGATCAAAACCACGGTTATTTTTTAACTTTTGAAATATGGGTTTTGGCTAAAAAAAGTGGTCATTGGGACCATAGTGCACTGATGCATAGAGCGGCAGTTCGTTGTACCTTTCGAAGGATTGACCCCCAGACCACGTGAATTTGTCCATTCAGACAGTCGCGTGAGCTTTGCAGTCATTAGATCGCAAAGTGTTTGAGGGAATTTTCCCGAGAAGATGATGGCAACATCGTCCGCGTACTTTACAGCCCCCCTCCGTCCAGGTCGCACAGAATCTTTTTGACTGCTATGTTCCATAGAAGGGGTGACAGGACACCACCTTGCGGGGTGCCTTTGTTGACATACCTTGACTGAGTGGACGATCCCATTGATGAAGTCACCATCCTGCATGTAAGCAATTGATCAATGAGCATCACCATGTGACGATCCACCCCCAGGTCAGTCAGGGCCTCCGTGATGGCCTCTGGTATGACGTTGTTGAAAGCTCCCTCCATAAATAGGAAGGGTATTAAGGAGTATTCTTTGACGTGTAGGGATTTCTCTACCGTCGAAATTACTTAATGGAGTGTTTTTTCCGTGGATTTTCCTTTTCGGTAGGCATGTTGTGCGCCTGACAGCCACTGAGGATTTATGGTTGCTCTCAGATGTAGCCCGACTAGTCTCTCAAAGGTTTTGAAAAGAAAGGATAGACTGATTGGTCTGAAGTCTTTTGGGGTTGAGTGTGAGGCTTTCCCTGCTTTGGGAATAAAGACTATTTTAGCCTTGAGGCAGGCGTGAGGCATTTTTCCCACTACCATGGTCTTCCTGAAGATGCATTGCAACCAGTTAATGGCTGTGTCTCCGGCTTTTTGTAATTGAGCCGGAATGACCTGGTCGGGACCAGGTGATTTGAAGGGGGGAACTTTTTATTTAGGCTGTGAACCAAAATGACTTTTTCTGATAGATTTCGGGATTTAAAAATTTTTGTAGTTCTTTATTTTTTTTTTATGGTGTCAAAAAAGAGTTAAGGGGTATACTAGATTTGTGGTAAAAGTGGATGTGTGTAACGCAGAGAAGGAAAATTTTCCGACCCCATAAAGTATATATATTCTTGATCAGCATCAATAGCCGAGTCGATATAGCCATGTCTGTCTGTCCGTCCGTCCGTCCGTCCGTCCGTCTATCCGTCTGTCCGTCTCGATGAGCGCCTGGATCTCAGAGACTATAAGAGCTAGTGAAACCAAATTTGGTTTGCAGACTTATGTGATATCACACTGCTACAAGTGTATTTCAGAATTTCGCCCCGCCCCCTTCCCCCCCACAAAGGACCAAAATCTGTGCCAGGAACAATTTTAAAGATACGATAAAACTAAAAACGCAGTATCGTAGAGAATGCCCATATCTACCAGATTGCCAAATCTGAACTAGATCGGATCATAATTATAGCCAGAATGAAGAAATAGTTTTCAGTTGCTTCCCCTGCCCCCTCCTGACCACAATAACGCAACTCATTTTCCTTCTCGCTCGCACACTTTGCCGCGATCAGTGCGCGAGCAACCCCTAGCGGAGGAGATGTAGAATCTAAATGGTACATGTTTAATATACATGTTAGATGTACATAGTATATGTAGATGTAGATAACAGATGTAGCAAAAAAATGTAAAATGTAAAATATTTTTTTTTTTTTTTTGAAATTCTAAATAATTATATGCTCAAAAATGTATATGCTGACTGAGTACGGGTATAAGTAGAGTCGCGTCCCCAGAAACGACTCACACGTTCCTTCTCGTTTTTTTTTAAGAATTTATAAAATTTGGTATTTTTTTCATGGTTTTTTCAGAGGTAGTGCTTCTGTTTTTCACATAACTTAAGTATCTTATATCTGGTTGCATAGAACTTTGCAGCTCTGG